AGTCGAACAAGAAGACAACAAGGCTATATTAGGGTCCAATTCACGGTTCTTCACAAGCTAATCCGCAACTTGATATTATTCTCGCAAAACGTATGCAGCAACAATTATTTCAATCTTGAATTTTGCACATATAGGAATCACCAATATAACAAATGAAAGTAAATATAACATGTGAACTTAAATCACATCAAACATGCATACGACTGATAACAAAATTTGTCACTTTAATGTCCTCAAACCACATCTTAAATGTATACTAATTTACTAAGGTGTGGCATCTGCTCATTTTTGTAATTAAGCGATTAATTTAACAAATTATTTAATTTATTCTAAAGATTAAATGTGTAGACTAATAGTGTGCATGGGATGTCGTAAGTCTCTTCCAACTTAATTAGAGGTTTCGAATTTGAGTCTCTAGGGTTTTAAAGTACGCTGACCGAAAAAATATGTGATCTAAAAAAATAATAATTTAAAAGTGTAGTTAATTAGGAAAATTATACCATGGACCAGGGTCAACCTTACATTGTAAATCCTGGTCCAAAAATAATCTTCAGATTCTGTATATATAGTTGACACATTTTGTACCTGCAGTTGATAGTTCATGTACCTGTAGCTATCATATAATGTATTAGCAATTATCAAGTTATTTGTTTATATGTACAGAAACTGTTAAGTGTAGGTACAAAATGTAGTAACTGGAGATACAAAATTTGTGTATCATGGTTCACAATGCAATATGAATATTGGCCCATGGTATAACAATTGAGTTAATTAAACAAAAAATATATACAAGATGCAAAAGGAGTGTACCCTTAATTGTTGGGATTGTTAATCCCTATTCCAAGGTTTTGGTCCTTGGGCGGAAATAAACAATCCAGAAATTGTGTGGGCAACGGGGATATTAGTCTCCAATATCCCCTTACACCTAAACACTCCTCCTAAACAACCGACACTAACATTGTTTTTTCTCGTCATTATATTTATCAAATGTTATACTACTAAATTATTTGGTTTTAATTTTAAAAAAAAATTGACATTAAATTACAAGCTTTCCAAAGCGTATGAGACATGTTGTGTTGATATTTTAAGTTTAAATATTTTCATCAAAAAAAAAAAGTTTAAATATAATATATAGACACATAACATGAGGAGTACAAATTTATATAATATAGTTTTGGAATTATAGTACACGACTCCCAATTTTATCTCTTCATTTAGATTAAATAGACAAATAATTTTATTTTTAAAAATTATCCTACTTTTGATTACTTTTTTTTTTTTTGAAAATCTACTTTTGATTACTTAAATATAACAATATTTCTATTTTTATGTCTAATCCTGTAAGGGCTTCCTTGGCATGGAAAATTCGCAATTCAAACTTTTTTTTTTCCCTGTATATATTATAGAGAGAAAGTGTCTATTGAGCCTCAGATATCAAAAATGGAAAAAATATTTTTCAGGAAAAATATACTCTTTATAATTCATTTTTCAAGGAATTAAGATTACACGAGTAGTATTCAAATTTGAATATATCTCTACATATGTTGCTTAATGAGAAAATTGGGGTTGCATGAATTAATTTGCAGAGTGTTATATTAATTCGTAAATACTAATTAACAGGGTTAAATACAAGTTAATTGAAAGAAGATCTAACAGACCAATTAGTACAAATCAAATTAATACTTATTAATTTTTTTTATTACATGAGAAAAGGATACCTACATATACAAATTACTATGTCTTCACTGGGGCTCAAATCCACTATCTCCCACATATAGGAGTAACTTGATAGCATTGAAGCACAAGATCTTTAGTTAATTAGTTTAATACTAATTATTTTGATAGTAATTTAATAAATGCTACTAATTCATTGTTCTATTATATTTGCAAATCTATTAGGCCAGTATTAATAAACTTTCAAATTTATAATTATTATAAAATTGACCCAGTATTTTTTAATTAAAATTCTTAATCAATGATGAACACGGATCAATGGCTGAGATTAATCCTTACTATTCACAAGACTCTGCTCTCGTTTGATCATGTATATAAATATGCTATTTTTTTCTATGCACGATGCACAAAAATAAATGCCCAAAATTAGTACTCAATGTTAAAATCATAGTTTTAATTTCTTTAAAAATAATATTTTATATTTAAAAAAATCATAAAATTTAAAGGTGTAGAGCTTATGTTATATATTAAAAAGTATAGTTGATAATATGGTTAATAGTATGGTATGATTAATAATTTTTAAAGTACAAATTTTAAATATGGTAAATAATTAAATATAATTATGATAGCATTTAATACAAACTAATCAAAGTTTAATAGTGTAAAGTAATTTCGTCTGTTAAAAATGATAATATAATATTTATAACGTAATGTAAAACTTAATAAGTATAGAAAATACGGACATAAGTCAAAGGGAAAATTTAAAAAGTGGAATAAACTCCTAGAAAAATGAAAGCACTTAAAAAAATAAAAAAAATCACTGCATTGCTGGATAGTTAGCGGGACGCTGAGAGCCTGAGACACTGAAAGGGGGAATGGCGGGAGTGGACCCCACAAGACACGTGGGTCGTTGCATTGCACGGTCACCGTTTGCTCGGCCCGGCCCACCATTCTGGCCCATTCCTCTTGTTGTGACGTTAACATCGCATTATCTCACTCTCCCTTGCCCCTCTAAAATATTGTCAAGTTTTTTTAATATTCTCTTTTTCCCCTTTTTTCTCTATTATTTTTTATTGTTCACTCTCGATTTGCTCTTTCCTTTTAAACAAAATCTACACTAGCACACGTGTGCTGATTGGTGGACACCGTCATGTGCTGTCCCTCTATCATTTCCCTCATTTTTATCATTAAACTATACATTTACTTTTCTTTTTTTTTTTTTTTAAATTGGTTATTACTCAATTAGTTCCTGAGTAATACATTGTGAACAAAGTAAAATTTTCTTAAAAATATTTAATCTACTAATCTTGGGAACAATGTTAATGATATGTTATCATGTTTTATTATTAAATGTAACATTAAAAAAAAATTGATGCTTTTAAAAATGAAAAAGAAAAATAGGAAGAGAAGTGCGTATTAAAAGCTCCGGCGCCTGCCCACTTGGCGGCACAACCTTCCTTGCACCTTCTCCAAGCTTTAGGCTGAAAGTGACATCAATTTTTTTTTTTTTTTTTTTCTGGCGTGATTCAATTTTCAGTTCCAACATAATACAAGCTCTTGGAGAAAGCAAATATATATATTATATTAAATATAAAACAAAAGATTTGTTTGTAAAATGGTAGGTTGGCATCATTGTATATGCACCACCGGTGTGAAACAATAATAGTTGCAATCATATATATATATATATATATATATATATATATATATATATATATATTAGCGCTCAAATGCGACAGTGGCTTTAGGTGCGGCGGTGCGGCTATATCAACATCGTCCATTTTGCTTAATCTAACGGCAGCGGCTAATTTCTGAAGATTTAAAGATTTAAGCGCGTCCTGATAAGTGGGGGGTGTTATGGTAATTGTAGTGGTCATTTATATCGGCCGTTTGTCAGAATACACCAACAGTGTTAACAAAAGACACCAATAGTGTTAGGAAAAAGCACCACAATGAAATGCACAAATACACCAAAAAACACACAACACACTCAAAAAATACACCATATAACTCACCACCCCAATGGTGTATTTCTGAACACTGTGTGGTGCTTTTATTCATACCTAATGGTGCGTTCTAGTGATGCATATCTAATTTGTGACATGTTTTTTTGGTGTGTATTTTCTAACATGGATGGTGTATATTTGTATAACTATTAGTGCACCCGCACTGACCGCATGGGAAGGCGCGGGCGCACCTAAACTTGGCACCAACACGAATCCTCAAATACACCACAGTAAGGTTAATAATGCACCAATAACGAACATAAAACACACAACACTATGATTTGATCTATTCAGGTGCCCAATGACGACTTTAACCTTGCAGGTCGCGTAGTGTGAGAACGTGCGCGAAAATATCGGAAAAGCCTGGATGAATGTGATTCGTTGAATTTATCTAATCTAATGGCCTACATTTAACCGCACCGCCGCACCTAAGCGCACTGCCGCACTTGAACCTTCCTCTATATATATATATATATATATATATATATATATATATTGATTCCTGTGAGATCAGGTCTTCCCGTGCGGTCAGTGCGGCATACACCGTTAGATATGCATAAATGCACCATACAGTGTTCGAAAATATACCAGAATGAAATGTCAAAAAATACACCACACATAGTGGTGTATTTACGAACACTATGTGATGCATTTATGCATACCTAATGGTGTATGCCACACTGACCGCACGGGAAGACCTAACCTCACAGGAATCTGACCATATATATATATATATATATATATATATATATATATATATATATATATATATATATAATTACGAGTGAAATTGGCACAATTATATGATAATGTATACAGAATAAATCATATTTTTGTGTAATAATTGATAAATCAGATATGAGAGATCAGTTGCACTAGAAAAATCATGTGTAACGGATTCAATCAGGTGTTAATAATATTGGATATAATTTGATATATTATATAGTTGTATATGATATTATCGACGTGATAATATTGATACTTATATGTTTGTCAATACTGGTGTTATTGTAACGCCTGATATTAATGTAATTGATTACCAGTTAACCTAATATTGTCACTCTATTCATACGGATGTTAATAATATTAGATATAATTTGATATATTATATAATTGTATATGATATTATCGACCTCGATAATATTGATACTTATATGTTTATCAATATTAACACCTGTGTTATTGTAACGCCTGGTATTAATGTAATTGATTACCGGTCAAACTAATATCAATCAGTAAGAAATTCCGTAATGCTAAAATGTTGGGACAGAATTTGGCAAGTGTACAGTGGGGACAGTTTTTTCCATATAAAAATGGCCAAAACTTAGCAACTATATACTTCCGTCTTCCTTCTTCCCATTCCAAACCAGAGCTTAACCCTTTCTCTTCTGTTCATCTCATCTCTCTCTCTCTCCATAATGGAATTCCAATCTCCGCCGTCGTCTCAGCCCACAACGCCGTCGCGATTCCGGCGCATCTGTGTGTTCTGCGGCAGCAGCGCCGGCAAGAACCCCAGTTACCAGCTCGCCGCTATTCAGCTCGCCGACCAACTGGTATATATATCATTATACTTGTATCCTTCAAAGATATAAACCCATAATTTAGCTAAGATTTTCGAAGATCAATTTCTTTTAGTCACGAGAAAACTATTCAAGAGTGTGCATGAGTAAATTTGGCGTTGTTATTATAACTGGCAATTAATTTAGATTATTCATAGTTGATAGTTTTTGTTCAGAGTTAAACTTATCATTTTATGGTTATTAATTAATCATTTGACCAACTTGATTAGGATGCGACGAAAAGATAAATGTTTTGAGAATAAAAATATGGTTACTACTTACTAATTAATCATTTGAACAATAAATATTTTTTAAATGAATAATTTTAGGAATAAATGTTTATTTATTTATTTATTTATTTAAAATGACAGGTTGAAAGGAACATAGACTTGGTCTATGGAGGTGGGAGCATTGGCTTGATGGGTCTCGTCTCCCAAGCTGTTCACAATGGAGGACGCCACGTGTTAGGGTATATTTTTTATTTTTTATTTTTTTTGTTAAATTTATTTCCCATAATTTTCTCCCTTATAAACATTATTTATTTATTTTTGGTTTTTTTTTTTTTATCTTCCACACAGAGTGATCCCTAAAACTCTAATGCCAAGAGAGGTAAATATCTATGTATCTTTCTGAGCACCCATCTCGTGGTGTGTTACGTTTCTCTTTTTTGGTACGACAGAGGGGCATTTTTGTTTCTGTCTTATAACAATTTATACACATTTTTTTTTTTTATGATGTGAGAAATTCACAATAATTATTTAATGTATTAATTTTGATTAAGAATGTCGTAAATGTTTGAAACAGATCACCGGAGAGACGGTCGGAGAAGTTAGACCGGTGTCGGGTATGCATCAACGGAAAGCCGAAATGGCTAGGCAGGCCGACGCTTTCATAGCCTTGCCTGGTAATTTTTTTTTTTTTTTTGGGTAATTTATAATTTGATTTGGTTTAATAAAAAATATGAATTTTGAAGTTATGATGTAATTAATGTAGTAAGGCTAAGGATGGGATGGGATGGGATGTTGTTGACTTGTTGTGACGGTCATTAATTAGTTGGATGGCGTAATTAGTGAGGATAACCATGAATTGACAGTGCTTAAATTAATTAAACAAACTCTAATTGTAGTCGCCGTTAATATTGGGGAACAGCTCATCCTAATCCCCACGTTGTTCCTAATTATAATTAACGACTCGTCGCAGGTGGGTACGGAACCTTGGAGGAACTCCTCGAAGTCATCACTTGGGCTCAGTTGGGCATCCATGACAAACCGGTAAGGTTTTTTTTTTTTTTTTTTTTTTTTTTTTTTAAGAGAAATTCGTAATCATTATTTGGTGATATGCATTGAAAATTTTACTTTATAATTCTAGTTGATAGATAATCATAAGGAGATAAATCAGTTTAGAGCGTTTATAGTTAATCGATTTAAATAAAAAAGGTCATTAATAAAGTTAATCAAAGAATAAAAAAACTCTAAGATTAGAGTTCGAAGCGTTAAATTTTCAACAATTTTTTTTTTTTTTTTAACTATGTGTGTCCTGGTGCATGGTATAACGATTGCTAGGAGAACTTATTTATGTTTGTACATCTCATAATCCAACGAACAATTATTGTTGTCAAAAACATATTTAAAAACGTTATTTATTTTTTTCTAAATTATTTGTGTTATTTAATTTTCAGGTGGGTTTGCTGAACGTAGATGGGTACTATAACTCACTTCTGTCTTTCATAGACAAAGCAGTGGATGAAGGATTCATCACTCCAGCTGCCCGTCACATTATTGTGTCTGCCCAGACTGCCCAGGAACTCATGTCCAAGCTCGAGGTACAACACCACCCATCACTATCTATATTTCCATATTTTTTATATCTTCTTTTTGAGTGACAAGGAAGATCTACAGTTACTCCGCTTTATTATCTTAATCAATAATATGTTGTTTTACTGATTGGGAATTAAACTTGAAATTTTGTTGTTATCAAGTCAACCGTCAAACTAACTTAGTCGGGTTATCACAAAATATATTTTATATTTTAAAAATATTATCCATTATCATCTTACCACATCTCTACACGTGGCACAGTTGTAGTTACAGATTTGACAACATTGTGTAACGTATGTATGTATGTATATAATTCCACATGGGTCAAAGACAGACAGCTCACAAAGTATCCTAAACTAGTTAATAATTAATCCTATGTACTCTTATGAATGTTTGTAGGACTATGTTCCCAAGCATAATGGGGATACCCCAAAGTTAAGCTGGGAGATGGAGCAACAGCTAGAGTACACAACCACCAAATCCGAAATTGCACGTTGAGACCTCTTCTGATCAAGAAATCTAAAACCAGGCGCGTTTACTAACGGGAGAAATTAAATTATATTTTCTATCTTTCCGGGGATAGTAAACAGATATAACGTTTACTTTACATTTCTCCGATTTAGAATATAGAAAACGGAGAGTGAAAAAAATTTGAAGAATTGAAGTAAATGTAGTCTAATCTTTGTACATAAACAAACAAATGTAGTACCTATTTAACAATCTTTTTTCCAGCATGCAATGCAAGATAGTGTAGATGAAAAACTCCAGAAACTTATGATATTACTCGTATTAGTTACTTATAAATCAATCATTGTTACTTCGAGTAAGTCATATCATTCGGAATATGATTTAGAATGATTAGCAATATCCTTCTTTTTTTTTTTTTTTAGTTTGATTTTTTTCCTTGTGTGAATTAGGGTTAGCCAAACTTGAGTAATCAAGAAGAGCATTATTGTTTAGGAATGTATTATTATTGTATTCTGTATATGATTTTGATGTTGTGTACATTTGATTGCAGTCCTATGATTGATGTCTGTCTTCTTTAGTGAATGTTAGTAGGAATATGTACACATATATAACATCTATCTACTAGTACTAGTATAATAAGAGCCGACAAAATTAGATCCGAAAATTAAAAATATTTTCGTCCAATTGTCTGATGAAATGAATTATTCAGAATATTTTATTTTAATATTTTTTAAATTAATTTTCTTACTTTACCTTCTATTATATTATTTATTTTCCGAAATATCCCGCATTCTGTTAGTGTAAACTTTAGTAACAAAGTATTCTGTTAATAACTATTTATTATTTTTAATTTACTCATTAATTTTCATAAGGAAGATTTTATGTTTGAACCCAATCATAATCGTTGACATAATTGTCGAACATATACTATGTATATATTAGAGTTATTAAAAAAATACAATATAAATTTTAACAATAACTTTTGTCAATTAATACGAGAATGTTGGTAAGAATTTACATTGCAATTCTCTATTTTTCTTTTATTTTTCCAAGATATAAAAACATCAACTGCAAAAAGAAAAATAAAAGGGTGGGATCTTTTCAACTGCAGCAATGAGTTTATCTGAAGCATACTTTTGGAGGGATAACATTTTTTTTTTTTTTTTGGAACCATTTTGGAGGGATAACATGACTTGTATTATGCAATGGTACCATACACCCTGTCATTGACTAGACCAAAACGTCAACCTGGTCATATGATGTTCGGATAATACTACATATATTCTTACTTTTTACTCTAATTTTATTTAAAAGAGAAAAAAATAAAAGGCAATTTAAGTTACGGTTTTCATTCATTTTCTTTCATTCACCAATAAAATTTAGACAACATAGCAAATTAAAAGTTTATAGTTATCAGTTTTTTTAGATAACACCGATGATGTAAAGACAACAGTGGGGAAAAAGTTGGTCTGATCTACATACATAGCACATGCTGATGAGTTGCAGATCGATGTGTATGTTTATGCAGTAGATAAAGCTTATCGCAGGTACACACACAACTCCTCTAATGTCTCGGCCACGTTTACACCGTTGATATATACAAGACGTACGGTACCTGATTATTGATTGATGAATTTATTGTACTAGGTAAAATGTTGGATTACAAATGACAACCTTGCAGATAAAAGTAGGTACACTAGTAAGTGATTTTACATGTACTTTTTTACTTACAAAGGTATAACAACTATTTACACATATAACACATTTGCATGCATCAGATGACACGTACGTGACGCGCACTGGATGGAGAAAAGTATTTTGTAGATAAGATTTCATGTCTGCATTTATCTCGTCAATATATTTAATAAACTTTGCTTCATGACTTGAGTCAGCAAAGGACTACAAGGAAGTAAACCAACTGACAGGCTCAAACCAAAAAGACTAAGATTTAAATCCATGACCTTGTGGTTACGGGTTTGAATGCTTTTTTTTTTTTTTTTTTTTTTTTGAAAACCGGGTTTGTATGCTTAGTCATTTTGGTTGGGGTTACCCCTAACATACCAGTTTTGTGTAATGCGCATGTGTGTTGTTTTTCTCCTTCTCGTATCCAAAACAATAATATTATATGAACTCTCATTTTCACTTTACAATATAATATGGACCATTGATATAAAGTACATTTTTAATATACTAAATGTTAATTGAAATTTGCACTGATGGTTGAAATTTGCAAAATTTTCAGCAGTTACTATTCTCATTAAATTTAACTCCTCCCATATAGTGGTGAGAGGACATTATATTGTACTTGCTTTGTTCTTCCATTCATTCTTTTTTTTCCCCTTCATTTGGACAGTGGCATCTTTGCATGAAGGGCATTCCCACAACTAGTTCATTGTATAAAACATACCACATTAACCAGGGATTTTGAGATATACATACACTACAAAAACATGTATATATAGTGGGATTTTCTTAAAATCTACCTCAGACAAAAGACTTAACCACAGAGGATGTGGTAACCAAACCAGAAAGAAGCCCAACAAGGAGTGCACTGTTATAAGTTGTTGGTTCTCCCTGCATTGAGTTGTTCCTTATATCAACATATGTCTCATTAAAAAATGGCCCTCCAACTAGGGCTCCAACTGCAACGTTCGGGTTCGGTTTTGATGAATCGAGCCATTTGAAGCCCGCTTTGCAGCCCGGTTTCGCGTTTGTAGGGATCGAGGCTCCTCTATGGTGAACGTACTCCGGGTACCTATCCCCGTACCCAACAAGGTAGCTCATCTCCATCGGATTATCTCCCAGCACATAATCCGCCTAGCCACAGACAGACAGGAAAAACACGTACAAATAAAAGACTCCAACAAAATAAATTTACTGAACAAGAAACAGGAAATCAGACCTGTGAAGTGGCAAAATCCCGGAGATCATGTGGTGTGAAATCTTTGTCATCACACGTGATCTTTACAGTGCGAGACGACCGCATGTAGTCGCTGTAAACGAGAGCTAAGAAGGCGGACGCGACAGAGTGTTGCAAGGCGTTCCACTCGCTCACCCATATTAAACCAGCTGGGCAAACAGAATTGTTGTTGTTAGTTAGTTTGAACTAATTAAGGTTTCATATAGTTAAGGTTTGATATAGTTAAGGATGTCTGGTTTATTACAGTCTGTTCTGCTGGATGTGGCAGTTGGAGATTTTGGCAAAAACCCACACATAACAGCCTCTGCAGTACTCTTATACTTCTCGAGAGTGACAGAGTTCGAGAGCCCTTTCGACTTAAAAAAACTCACCCGAGACATCAAAACCTGCAGTCTCGCTATCAATTTAAACTTTTAACTGAAACAAAAACAGATCATTCAAATATGGTATCAGAGCCTATGAAATACCTCAGCTCCAGGCAACTTGTCATCCCAGCTAAACCAGGTGGGACTTCCCCACTTAACAAACTCATCCGCATCGTCCCCCGTTGCAAAATCATAATACGTTTGGTCTCCCGTCGCGTGGTAGAGCCAAGTCGCTGCCCACAAGAGCTCGTCGCCATACCCAGTTGAGTTGTAAAATGCTACCACTTCGCGAATGCTTTTACTGTACAAGCCTCGATGTTTATCAGCAAAGGCAAACAACTGCTTAGCATGTTTCAGAAGCAAGGCGGAGTAGTCAGAGTCCGATTTAAACACCAGAGATGCTGCAGCCATGGCTGCTGCAGTTTCAGCTGCAACATCTGTTCCTGGGGCAGAAGTGTTCACTTGGATAAGAGGCCTTGCCTTGGTTATGTCTTCAGGCCTTTCCCAACATTTATGGTCACTTTTAGGATCCCCCACCTTCCAAAAGGGTAGAAAACCATCATGTTTGGTTGATGAAAAAGCCAGAATTATTGTTTGGTAATCAGCTGTTCGGAGCAGCGTTTTTACTCCGAACTACTGAAACCCCAAGCGCCACAAATAGCAATGCCCTTATAAGTCTTTTTACACTTCAACCACTAATAACAAACAATTAGTTTTACCAAATATCTTTCTATAAATCGCTAATATAACCCGTTGGTCAAACCCACTAATGTCAATTTGCTGTCCACTAACCGCTAACCGTTGATTGTCAAACAAGGCCTAAGTGCATTTTTTTTCCTCAAAAAAATGATCACTATAACACATGCAAGACAAATTTTCAATAGGAAAAATAAGGAAAAGAATCAAAGATGGATGAATACGGACAAAACAAAATGTTATAAACACATAACATATACAATTGAAGCTTGTACTCCATCTCAACTAAAAGCCTAAGCTGATAGTTGGAAACAGGCCCCCTCACGTGTGCAGGCCCATACTTTGGCCCCAAGCAACACATGACCTTTGGCATGGCTCTGATACCAAATTAAAGCTTGTGCTACATCTCAACTAAAAGCCTAAGCTGATAGTTGAATTGCACATTTATGTATTTATGTTTATCTGATATTATATGCTCAACATATACTACACAAGAACAATGCTCAATATGCAAAGTAAGCAGATGGAGAAGACAAATGAGGAGATGAGAGAAACCTGAACGTAGAGGACATTAGGGGAGGGGTGGGCATTCACAAGGAAGTCCATTATCCATTTGAGTGAGTCTTGGGCAGGTTCAAGTTGGTTCACCACCTCCATTTGGTCACCATACTCGAGGATCGCCCACGACAACACTGATGCAGTGTAAGCCATGGGGAATCCAAACTTAATGAGGTCTCCAGCATCATACATTCCTTTACTAAGATCCAGCTTTGCTTGGCTTCCATCTTTGAGTGCAGAATTCCCCCTCCATGGTATTTTGTCTTCACCCAACTTCCCAGCTGCAATGCCACCCAAATTTCAACCATCCATTAAGAAGTGTTCGTTCACAAGTCACAACATATTTAGACAGAAACTGATAGCTATAGGTACCCAAACCCAAGGGCGAAGTCCATTCCAAAAGACTAGTCGAATAGGTGGAAGAACCTTCGAGCTTAAATACCGCTCAACAATGGATGTGAGATCGATATTTGCATCGTATCAACAAGAAAATACAAAGTATTTCATGTTTAATCCCATACTATCATTTTTGTCTTTAGCCATGCTGACTTTTAATTTTTGGACTTTTTCCGAATAGGGCATTTTAGGCAAGGGTAAAACCGTCCAATCAGCTTGTTTTCTTCTCCAAAAGACATTTATAAAAGCCCATTAATGAAGCACAATAATTACTATAACAAATCTTTGGGTTGAAGAAATTAGGTTTTTATGTCATAAATATGGTATAAATACCTTTTGGAGAAGAAAACAAACTGTTTGGAGGATTTTACCTTTGCCTAAAATGATTCTTGGCCAGAAAAAGCCAAAAAGTGTCCAAAAACTAAAAGTCATGATTACTTAAAGGACAAAAATTATATGGAATAGTTTGAAACTAAATAACAAGAAACCTGGGCTATAATTAACTCATTCCTAACAGGCATTAACTAATAATCAAGAAACAAACCAAATACGCTAAACATCATCATGATCATGATCATGGCAAGACAAACAGGCATTAGGAATCACATTGCAAATGACGAAAATGGGTTACCCTTTTGCACGTCGAAGAACTTCAATGCCACTTTCAGAGCATCGGCGTATTTCTTAATAGGCTTTCCGGGAGGCCCCGGCTCCGGCTCCGGGAACTCTGCGGCCTTGTGATTTATAAGCACATAAACGGCGCAGCCAATAGCCAATGCCACCACCGCCACCATAAACCACCCACAACAATTCCCTTTCGACTTCGATCTCCTACTCCCCATTTTTTACTCCCTCGCGATTTATCTGCATTTCCAACAAAAACAAATCAAGATTCACACTCAAACACGAAAAAGACACAATCTTTACAGGAAAACCTCACATTTTCTCCCTTGAAAAAAATCCGTAAACGCTCAAGGGTTCAACAATTTCAGAGAAAATTACAGGGATTCGCAAAGAACTTTATTCCCTATCTTTCTTTTTTCCGATTGTTTGGTTTGATGGGGGGGAAATGACAGAAAGGGGAGATGAAAGGGCGCCGGGCGATCGGAGAGAAGGCTAAGAAAACGCGAAATGGAAATTACGTTGTGGCCCCCTGAGAAGGTGGTGTTTGGTGGTGGAACAGAGCACCGACAATTCTACGTATTCCTCCTTAAATTGGTGGCTGGCTTCATAGTTTCTGGTTTTTCAGTTTTATTGCAATTACGATTTTGCCATCGTTTCTTTTCACGGTTGGTTGCTTTCTTGTGCCACAAATTATTGCTCCTAATTGTCCCACCTACGTGACTGATGTCTCATGAAGTAATAACGGTATTGTGTGGGGGAAAAAATAACGATTTTTTTACTTCCTAGATTAATTCTCAATAACAATATAAACTTTAACGAATTTATTATAGGTCTCGTATGAGCTTTTTTCTATGGACAATTTAAATCAATTTACCAAACAACATTAATTGAATAAGCAAATAGTAAAAGCTTAATCCTCCCAATAAGTATCAAATAAGTGAACATTCAATAGCCTAAATTATACCAGAGTTAGGCTACAGGAATATAGATTACAAGATAAGAGTATTAATGTGTTGAATAACGTTTGGTCAGTCACTCTGAAATGATTCATATCCAACTAGTTATAGTATAAGTGTATATAAAAGTGAGTAGTAGAAAGTGACATAATGTCTCTAATTGAGATATCATATTTATACTAATGACTGGCCGGTGTTATCGTGTTAATCAACGACGACGTGACTACTAGTGACAAGTATATATTTATAATGTAGTGTATTTCTACTGACATAAGAGGACAATCAACCCATGCATCTCGATAAGCATAATGAGCAGTGCACTAATTCTAGTCTTCAATTATTCCCTCAATCCTCCTAGTTATCACATTATTATAGGATCCAACACATCTTGACTCGTCTTTGGCACGTTGGTAAGTCAAGCATATCGTAGCTAGCACTTGGATTCTTGGACCTATCTATCAAATATTGAGTTATTGAACCATTTGTGCCACTTTATAATTACATCCATACTAAATATAAGATGATCATGATTCACTGCCATTCAAGTAATCCAAATACTTTCCTAGGACCAGGACTATGTGGTCTAATGGTACCCGGGTTGGATTTCCATTTGGAAGATTATAAATTCGAGCCTCAGTAGAGACGTTATTGGTTCTTTGTGATTTAGTAAGTTGAGAAAGTATATGAACAGATATTACAATGTAATAGAACCAGTAGCATTCAAAAAAAAAAAAAAAAAAAACTTTTCTAGCAATTAAGTTAGATTATTTCCTTATGCCAACAAAATAACCAACAAGATATCCACATAACCCCTTATTCGATCGGAAGGTGATGCATTATTGTCAGTAGCCCTCCAACATTACTTAGCTAGTTAGCTTCCTAATGACAGTATACCCTACGTGCTTTATTTCTCCGCCATGATGAGTGTTTAATTATTTTAAGCTATGGTATGGTCCACCGTACCGACTCCCCATGTATCATAGTAACGTTTGTCGTCACTAAATAACAATATCATATGTGAAGGTTGCCACTCAAAATCTTATCCTTCAATACAAATTACTTATGTTTGATTTATTATATTAATCATAAGTTTAAAACTTAAATTTAAAAGGCCACTCGATTATCACTATGTATTGGAAATTGGTGAAAGAGGTAAACTGTAAATATAATATGACTCAATTGACATACATATCACCAAATGTTTATACTTTAGTGTCTAAAACAAAGTCAAATTTATACTCTCTTGAGATCAATTGATTTATTATCAATCATTTCAGCAAAACTTAAGTCCGCCAACGATCAGGCTTTTTTGGCCTTTCTCGTCGGGCTGAAGGGCTTTGGCAAGCTCCTGCCCGTCCTAGCCCATTTTGACAGCTATAGTGGCAGTACAGTTGTTATACCATGGACTGGGGTAAGGTGGACCATAGTTCTAAATTGTGTACTTTTAGTATTGAAATTGCGAACATTTAGAATATAAATTGTGTTTTAAAATTTTAAAAATTTGTACTTTTAAAATTGTGTGGACCATAGTACATTGTAAGGTGGACCATAGTTCTAAATTGTGTACTTTTAGTATTGAAATTGCGAACATTTAGAATGTAAATTGTGTTTTAAAATTTTAAAAATTTGTGAATACAATACACAATTATCACAAATTTTAAATTTTTAAAAAATAAATTGTGAACAATTAATATGTAAATTGTTGACCCAAGTCCACCTTGCAAGGTAATATGGACCCAGGTCCACATAATAATTTGCCCTATAGTGGTTAGTGATTCGAGGCCCAAAAACATGGCAATGTAAATCATGGACCAGAGTCCACGTAACATTATGAATCATTAATTGAAACAAATGGTATATAATTCATACTTATAAAGTACATTATTTAATAACACAAAACACAAAAAATTACAACACAAGACACATAGCATAGTATTATGGACGCAATTGAATTGAAAAGACAAGATACAGAACTCATACTCGTAAGTTATATAATTTCATAACACAATATACAAAAAATCATAACACAAGACACATACACATGTTATATATTTACTTATTTTCAAATCTGATTTAGGTATCTAATTTTTGTTCATAAACACAAAATTGCACAATACAAGATATAGAAATTCATAATATAAGACACAATTACTAGTTTATTTCATGTATAGAATTTATACTCATAAAGTATAACATTTTATAATGTAAGACTCAAAAGTCATAATACAAAATACAATTACATAAATTAAGATTCATAGTGTAGTGTGAACCCGGTTCAAGATATAACGATTGCGAAAAAACAATTTCCGTTGTTTGGGGAACAAAGATGGAAAAAAAAAAAAAAAAGAAAATCTTAATAGAACCAATTTACAAACGTAGCCTTGTCCAATTATCGTTGAAAAAGCGCAAGCAGGAGAAGGAGCCGGGCCGCTCCGTAAACATCATCCCGCCCTTATACGCCGCCTGTAGCTCCGCCGTGCTTTCCTCCGATCAGGTACGTCTTTATCCAGATTTAACCAAATTTTTTCTTAGTGTCAAACCTTTTACTGTAGCGTATCGGTTCGCCTAAGCAATTTTGGTAATTAACTTTTCTCGTGGATGCTTTTGATTTCAATCTGCAATTGCTCTGTCTCGTTAACTGCGTGATTGTAATTGCCAATAGAATTAGATTCGTACATGAGTCAGTTGTTGATTTAGGAGATTTTCCGTGCAAATTTATGTGTTAGGGTTTTAAGTTGGAGTATAATTCTTGTTGAAAATAAATGAGGTTTGAAAATGAAATGCAAGTAGCTAATGATGTCTGGATGAGTCTGATATTAGCTTCACTTTGTTTCTAAAATCCTCCATTCTCAAAACACATGCGCCAAAAATCATGATCCCTCTGCCCTTTTCCCCCTGTTTTCAGTTATTTGACGTTTTTAGGTTCATGATACTTGTATAACAGTTCACTATTTTCTTATTGATACTTAAATTTAGTTGTTTTTTTCGAGTGAAGTGTGTTTTAGGAATTTACTTTCAGCTAAATTTTAGTTTTTGTTCTGGGGAAGTCTTGCAAATTTGTGAACTTGCAATCTCATATTGATCGCAAGCTGTAGAAATTCTTGGTTAAACTGTGTGACTGATTGTATATCATCTCCATCACGTCAAGATGATGGCCTCAAAATTTCTGATTGCTACACTTTTCCTCCCCACAAATATACTTGAGATCAAGATAGGTAGATAGCTTTGGTAACCAAACATAGCTATTGCATCATACGTAAATTATGATACTTTAAAACAATGTCATACATTTAACTGCCTATGACATGAATATGTCATAATTTACTGATTCACATTCAATCCCGGGGTTCGGGGGTTGTTTGTCTATATAGTGATTGTTATTTCAGTTGACCAATAGCATCTTTTCGTCTTTGTTGGCTCTACATGGATATTTTGGTGTTGCCTAATAGTAGTCTAATAAAAGAATGAATTCAAACTGAATCCCTTTATATGCTTATATTGCAGATGGATACTGATACTAATGAACAGCAACCAAAACAAGAGCGTCTGAGGACAAGATGGACACCATCCCTTGACAAGATCTTTGCAGATCTAGTTGTTGAACAGATTCGGCTGGGAAATCGACCAAACAATGTCTTTGATAAGAAAACTTGGAATTACATACGCAGTGAATTTAATAGACAAACAAATCTCGATTTCAATAATAATCAGTTGAGGAAACACCTTGATGTACTCCGGACACGTTACTATGCTTTCAAGTCTGCTTCTGGTCAAAATGATCCTTTGGTGGATTGTTGCTTTGTTGGTTTTGATCTGTGGGAAGACATTGGGGTAAATCTCTCTCTCTCTCTCTTGTGGTCTCTTTTAAGGTTATCATTCCCTAACTGTCTTACTTATACAGGCACAACCAAAGCCTGAAACAACCAAGATCAAGGAGTGCCCTATATATGAGGAATTATGCTTGATTTTTGCCGACTCTGGTGCTGATGGAAAGTATGCCCAGTCAAGCCACTATGGAGAATTGGAAAAAGCAGCTGGGGTAGATCCATCTTTTACTGAAAGCCAAAATCCATGTCCTAAAGCACCACTCCCATCAACAATCTCACAAGGCAATGAAACTTCACCAAAAGCAACAGCTAAGAGTACAGTGGAGAAAAAAAGAAAGCGTCTGTCAGAGGCAGTACCCGATTCAGGTGAAAACAGTAGGGACACAGAGATGATCAACATAATCTCAGAAACCTTGCAAGAGATGATAGCCGCTTCAAAGTTGCGATCGGTTGATGGTCCTCAGTTTGACAAAAGATTCACAATAAGCAAGTGTATTAAAGCATTGGATGAGATGGAAGGCATGCATGACACTCTGTACTATGCAGCTCTGGATTTATTCGAGGATCCAAATCTGAGGGAGACATTTCTGTCTCTTAATGACAACATGCGTTTGACATGGCTGCAGGGGAATTTTGGTAATCCTGTCTCAGACTCGCTCATTGGGCTATGATTCTAGCATTGATATTATTTCAGTAGCAACAATCATCCTAGTGTTGATATTTTTTATACCATTAGTGTATTGGCAAGTAGAATATAAGTCAGGTTTAAATGGTTTTTGATATTTATACTAGCTTCATAGTAGTAGAACAGACTCATTTTCATTCCTTTTTTTACTCCCTGCCTTTAGGCAGTGGCTAGAGGCTCTAGCTGCCAACTTAATTAGCAAGCAAATTGTTTACCAAAGGCTAATATTTATATATCAACTGTCTATTAGGAGTATTACATTTCTCTCTCTCTCTCTTTTTTTTTTTTTTTTTTTTTGCCATTTTTGTGGTAAAGATTGCACAAGCATATTCAACTTTGTTCCAGTCTTTCTTTGATTTATGGGAAATATTACACCTGAAGGTGCACTCTGGGTTAAACTTGCATTGTGATTTTAGTTGATAAAAGACCACAATAAGGTAAATTAGTCGATGTTTTCCCAAACTAATCAGCTCAAACTAAAAGGGCTAATAAACAGTTCCATCGGGAGTCAAAATTGAAACCTTATGTTTACCAAGTCAATTTTCTGATCAACTTGTATAAACTTGATTGGCCCCATCTCCCTAATCATTTCCATTTAATGAGCAACTCGTCAAATATCATTGTGTGATACTATATGTACATATATTCATAGGAAACCTAATTGAATTATGATTTATGAAAGTTTTGTCTCTTTTTTTTTCGTCGTTCTATTTTCCATCATTAAAAAAAAAAAACTAGGATTTGAAAAGTGTCTCTTTTGTAAGAGTTAAATAATAGTCTTTTAAATACTCACACAAAAGGCATCAACGCGGTCGATATGTCCGAGTGGTTAAGGAGACAGACTTGAAATCTGTTGGGCTTCGCCCGTGCAGGTTCGAACCCTACTGTCGACGTAATATTACCTTTTGATGCCTTCCATATTTTTCTTTCTTTTGTTATAGATAAAACCGTCTACGATTTGAATCAACTCGTCGATATGTCCGAGTGGTTAAGGAGACAGACTTGAAATCTGTTGGGCTTCGCCCGCGCAGGTTCGAACCCTGCTGTCGACGCAATATGTATTATTTTGCTGCCTTCCATATTTTCCTTTGTTTTAGTTGTAAGAAAAAAAACTCTACGTTTCGCATCAATGGTGTCGATATGTCCGAGTGGTTAAGGAGACAGACTTGAAATCTGTTGGGCTTTGCCCGCGCAGGTTCGAACCCTGCTGTCGACGTAAAAGGTATGAATCCATTGCTGCCTTACATCTCTTTCCTTTTGTTGTAACAAAAACCCTCTATGTTTCGCATGGAGTAAGAAACAACCAAATGGGGAAATTGAAAAATATTGTATTCTCTTTGATCATTACACAGACAAAATGGTGCAAAACAATTGTTCAACAAGCAAGACAAAAGAAGAATGGTTGTCAACTTTATGTAATCTCTGTTCTTGAAACCAGCTAATCTCACTCCACTGCACCTCCCTATTGCTCTTGCTCCTGTTCTTAGTCGTCGTCCTTGAACTCTCTGTCCAATGCAAAACCATCCTCACAACTCATATTACCAATTGCAATAATACGCCATAAAAGTAGAAGTATCCTCATTTAGTCTAGTGACTTGAACACAAGACTCGATATAAATGGTCCCGTACTTCTTTCTTTCTTTCTTTCTTCTAATTAAAAAAAAAAACATGATTTTGGTTGAAGTACATAGTCCAATACCTGCGATCAAGATATCGAGGTTGAATACCACTGCCTTGACATGTTGTGCATGTCAAAGAACCAACGCCATCGCAGTTGATGCATTGTGAGACTTCTTTCTCGTCCCCGCCAAGCTCAACTGTTACCGTGCCAGACCCCATGCAAAGTCTGCATTTCTCTACACAAAATGAAGAAAAAGAAAACCGTTCTATAATTCTAAAGATGACAACTTTTAGATGCCAAAATAACTCTCCACATACCATCAAGTATTCAAGAATTGCACTTGTTTAGTCTAAAGACCTTTCACTTTGCTAATTTCCTAGTTTTCTTTACCATATAGTCTATAATTGAGCCAGAAGTTCATCACTTAACACATCTCGGTTTGTGCACTTCCTATATACGAAATGTACAATCGAACATTACTTGACCTATGTAACCACATTCTATTGCCCAACTCAACACTTGAAAAGAGAAGTGGGTGTTGCTCTTTCAATAAACGAATCAGTAGCCATCGGTTTAAACTTCTAATTGATACGAAACACACCCTTCAATAGCAACTACTAGTCTCACTATCAGTTTAAACTTTTAATGTAACAGATTATGTTCTTCCATTGCAACTACAATAAAGGGTTCCTTAGGGGACTTACGAGCACCGGAGCCACTGCAGGGAAAGCATGCCTGAGTGTTCTCTCTTTTGGCCTGCAACACAGCAAATGAAAAGAGAATAAAAATGAAAAAGCCCCAAGCTTTAACCCTAAAATCTATATGCAAATGGAGGCAACCACAAGGTTCCAAATTCGACTCCCATGGAAGTGATCTATTGGTCTTCTTGGTTTAAGCCGATTAGTTATGAGCAATTTAGACTGGTTTATCCTATGATGGTTTACCCAGTTTGAGTTTCTCTCGTCATTCAAAAATAATATCTATATGCAAATCAAGTACCAGGTCGTGAATTACTATGTTAAACTCTACAACTACAATCATGAATCATCATACTACTCCTATGTTTGTAACCAAGTACAGAGAGAAGCTTACAGCGTTGTCAATTTGGGTTTCATAGAACACTGGAATTCCAATCCCAACTGCAATGCTCACTACTCCAACTGAAATTGCTACTATCTGCAAAAACACCAATTTACATAACAAATCAGGAAAAAAAAACTGATAAAATGGGAAATGAAATGAAAGGATGAGGGAAAAAACCGTGTTTTGGTCAAGATCAGCTCTAATACATGGAAAAGAAGGGGGCGAGCGCTGGGTTTTGAAGGGTTTCTGGGAAAGAGATAATGAAGGAGATGAAGAGAGCTTGAGAGGGCAACAAAGAAAAGGAGACTGAAGCTTAGTAGCAGACAACATTTTCTTTTTTATTTTTTAAAAATTAAAAATTGTTTTCCTGGACTGAATTTATGTGAAGGGATTTGTTCTTGGTGGTGAGATTTCTACAGCCTATTGGGTGAAAGCCATGGATGGATGTTGTGAAGTGGGAGAAATTGAAACAAGTGTTGACAATGGAGGACTTGGATTTTGTGGGGTCTTCTTCAATTTTCACCAGAAATTTTTGCTCTTAAAATTCCAGCTCCACTGCACCTACAGCCATTCATCATTATGGACCTTCTTGCTCTTCTTTAGGGCCTCATCTTCTGGGCTTTTCAGGTTGCAATGGGGCTTGAATGACCCTCAATGAGCTTTTACATATTGATTTCATTTGGAACATGTGTGATAGGTAGAGGTTGTGAGATATACATATAGAGGCTTCAAATGGACTCTATTTCTTCAAACAACAAAATTTGGAGGTTGGTGGATTTTAAGGTTGAAAGATCGATTTTTGTATGTATTTTTCATGTTAAAGAGTTTTGGGTTAAAGTAAATCTGAATTAATTTTATAATGATAGAGATGTATTGAATGTGTAATAGGTATTTCAACTCAATAAAACACGTTAATCCATAAGACAATTTTATTAGGTGGAAGAATCCCGAATAGTTTTCTCTTTGTTTGCTGAGCTATTGAGTTATCGTGATTTACATCATCTCAAATGCTCTGTCAAGTAGGGGTGTAGGGGGCCTTTGGAATTAGGAATTCAACATTTTTGGGAAAAGGAGCTTTCTCCTGGTCTATGATAGACCGTTCTTACTAGCCTATCAGCGAGAGCATTAGTAGTATTGCTTAAACCAAATAAGAAAGTTACATCCAAAAGACTGACATATCATATGAGAAAACATCTCAAATTTAAGTATTATTTTACAGCTTCTTGTAAATTGTTGTAGAATTGTAATAATGTAGATGTTTAGTTGAGACAAAACACAGTTTTCAATTCGGATGAAGGGAAAATGCATGTGCATTCATGTAGCATAAGCAAAAAGACAAAGGGTGAGGTTAAAACTTAAAACCAAACACTTGGTTAGAAAGAGTGGGTAGCTAAAAAAGGAGTGGAGGGTAAAGAGTAAAGAGGAAAGGGTGGGGAATTTGGAGGAGATTGAAAGTGAAAATGACAGACCATCCATCAACCTACCATTATCATTAGGAGGCATGTGCTATGTGATTTATGGGCAACGCCCTTTTGAGTCTTTTGTCCCTTTCCTGGTGTCCTCCAAAGGTTTGGACTTAGGATCCGAGGCTTAATTTGCTTATGGACTCACCCCACCTATCAACAATTCCATCGAAAGTTTGAACTCATATGTATATAATAACGGTTTTAGAAAAATTATCTTTAAATAGAACCTATATTTAGAAAAGAGAGTTGAACATCTTTGAGATCTTCAATCAAATACCCGTCAAGGTTAAAGTATTCATGATTAGCTAGTTGTCTTTAAATACCCACCAAGATGAGATTATTCCTATCTAGTTGTCTACAAATACCAGTCCGAGTGAGACTATTCCTACCTAGTAGTCTTCTTCCAGCCTAGTTGTCTTCAAATGCCTGCGAGGGTGAGGTTATTTCTATTCATATATGTTGAGTAGGACCTTAAAATATGATAAAACACTCCTTAATGCTGAGTTGAGACTATTCTTGTTCATGCTGAATAGGACCTCAAGGGATGATAAAACATTTCATCATGGTGGGTATTAAGGTAGATGCACATATGATTATGTTGATAAGAGCAATTTTTTTTTTAATCTGAACTAAGACTTACCCTGAGCAAAATGCTTCATCATGAGTTTTAAAATATTTATATTTTCAACACTAATTAAACTGAAGAGACTTACACCATCTCATCCACACCTTATGTATACCAAGCAAAGTTATTTTTAGATAAATAAATTTTAATATATACATATAATGAACAACACCAAAAATCTTAAAGTAGGTACCACCTAATGGTCATAATCTAATCATATATTGTACTCTTAGACTTTTTTTCCTATTATACAGATAGATAAAATTATAACCCTTTTTTGTACGATAAAAGCTTAATTATTATGCCATAACACAACACAACCTTTTTGCATCATAACAATGACAGTGACAATAATGTAAAAGCAAATTAGATCATATCCGATTGCGTCAAGATTACGTTAATCTGATAATTCACTTGACGACCCCGACAAATTTTTAACAAAATAAACAAATTAACAAAAATAGACTTTTTGCCAACTACCATGTAGTGTGATGATATTTCCGTTAACATTTTAAATGGGTGGCCATAAGTTCAAATTTTGATGGTGGGCAACAATCAACTCATCTATTTGGACGCTTGCATTCTTACTATGAGCTTTATCTTTATCTCTTATGTATTTATAATCCCAACTCGACATTCATTTAGATGGTTCATTGATTCTAGGCCACGGGCTATTCAGCCTCATGTTCACTATAACCCAACAATGTATATGTAATCTTTTATACTTTGCATCTATCTATAATTCATGAATTAAATTGTGCAATGTATGTTACACAAAATCACTTATAACGAGTTCAAATAACATTACTCATATAATCATATATTAAATTAAGATACTAGAAGACTATAATTATTGGAAAAACTTTTTTGAAAAAGGTAGAATTATAGATGAAAAAAGTGTCAATTGATTTTTGAAAAAAAAATTATGATTGAAATAAATTGCTTATAGTGGGGTTTAATAATATACCTAGATTTGCTTTTTTGGTGGTTCAATAATATACTTTTCTCTTTATTTACTTGTCCAATTTTGAGGTGAGGATTTGATACCTAAGAAGCCCTTTCGTCTTGGAAATACGACTACCCAATGTGAAGGAACCAGCTCTCACGTCACAGTCTGTCACCCTTCTCCTTAAAATTCATAGCTATGTTTGGCAAACCTAGCTGAAAAGCTATAAGTTCGGAGCTGAAAGCTGAAAAGTTATAAGCTCGGAGCTGAAAACTGAAGAGCTGTTAAGATAGCTGTTATGATTGAAAGTGTTTGGTAAAATTAACTTTTTGATAAACTGATAAATGTAAAAATACTAAAAAGGACATATTCATAAAATTTAAATTAGTTTGTTTACCTATTAAAATTTAACATTTTGTCTTTTTAAAAAAAATTTAACATTTTGAAATAAAACTATTAGTATAATCATGATCTTGCATCTCATAATGAAGTAGCAATATTGTTGCAAATCTCATAATAATAATAATAATAATAATAATAATAATAATAATAATAATAATAATAATAATAATAATAATAATATTTGCGGTGAAAGGTGAAAGTTGCGGATAAAGGAGAAGAGAAAATGATTTTAATTGGGAAGTGTAAATTATGTCACTTCTTTAAAATAATAAGGATAAAGATGGAAAAAAAGTTAGGAAGCTAGGAGCTTATTTTGGGAACATTACCAAACAGAGCTTATAGCTTATTAGTAGCATAAAATAAGCTATAAGCTCCTAAATAAGCTCTGCCAAACAGAGCCCATGTCTCCTAAAAAAAAAAAAAAGAGTCAAAACTGAGTGACGTACCTAACGGCCAGGAATTTGGTCTTATCAATATTATCTTACTATTTGTATGGTTAACATATTATTACATAGGAATAAAATTTACTTAGTGTACAATTTAGATAGTGACTTTCAAGTTCCTCTTGTTATAAAAAATAAAATAAAATATTCACATTTTGTAATATAATTATCCTCATTACAATTTCTCAATTAAATTAAATATATAAAAATAAAATATTAAATGAATGAAAAGAAGTTGTTAATAAGGTGAAGTCTACATCAAACGTAAATGATTCTTACTCGGATATCATTTGTTTAAAGCTATTGGAAAGATTTTGAGACGAAACAATACGTAAATATATAAATAGGGAAGTTAATTTTTGCATAGATTGGAGGGCAATACACTATAATCATTCTGATTCAAATTTACAAAATTTTTTAGACATCTCCCAAGAATTTAACAATTTCATTAATGATGTTATTCGGTATATATATATATATATAATGGGATTTATCAAAATTTAAAGTTTAGTTAATTAATGAACCAAATCAAGCTTAGTTTAATTAATGAACAAGCCATAATATAATCTCACAAATAATATCCTCCTATTAACATCATTTTCATTAAAGTTTATATTAATGATATAAAATATTTACATTTGGACAACACCATCCAAGTTGGTGAAACACTTGAGGGTCGTTTGGTTCACGGAATGTCAGATTACCTTAGGGAATGTTAGATTGCTGGGAATGTTAGATTACTGGGAATGTTAGATTCCTGTGTTTGGTTAAAATTGGGGTATGTAATATAATCATGTTTGGTTTAGGGTTATCTTTTATTCACACACTATAATATCCTTAACATATTTTCATATATTTTAATAAATTTTAAAATTAAAATAAATAAATAAGATAACGGTATCATATATAATTACATGATTTTAAAATATTAACTAAAATATTGAACTTGAGAAACAAAATTATTTTATATGCTAACCTAGCATAAATAAAAATAAAAAAATATATAATTACAAAAATAATTATATGTGTGTGTGTGTGAGAGAGATAAACTAACATAACCAAAGTTATCTTACATAACCTTAGAAATTGAAGGGAATCACATTCCCTTCCAGGGGGCGTTTGGTTCACGGAATCTTGGATTACCCTGGTAATCTGAGAAAGGTAATCTTAGATTACCATGTTTGGTTGAGGTCATCTGCGAGGGAAGGTAATGCAACATTACTGCCACGTCAGAAATATGGTAATGTTGGAGGTAATCTGATTATCAAATTTTTATTAGGTAATGTGAGATAACTTTTCAATATTCCAAAATTGCCCTTATTTATTCTTCTTTTATTCACAAGATTCATCAGACTCAATCAGACGAGAGACGCTCCATCTTTTATTATTATTATTATTATTATTATTATTATTGAATTGCATCTTTCCAGTAGCATTCAATCATCATCATTATTATTATTATTATTATTATTATTATTATTGAATTGCATCTTTCCAGTAGCATTCCATCATCATCATCATTATTATTATTATTATTATTATTATTATTATTATTATTATTATTGAATTGCATATTTACAGTAGCATTCCATTTATTATTATTATTATTATTATTATTATTATTATTATTATTATTATTATAAGCATCTTGTTAAATTTTGAATTATGAAAAAAAAGACTTGCAATTTACACCTTTCAATTTATATGAGGGCATTTAAGTAATTGATGTAATATACTCTAAAATATACCCTTCAACCAAACAAGTTAATGTTACATTCCTGCAACTTTAACCAAACACATCAGGTAATCTTACATTTCCAAAATCTCACATTACTTACCCCCAGGTAATCCTGGTAATCAAAGATTCCGTGAACCAAACGACCCCTCAAAATCCTATGTGGAGGGAATGTGACATTCCTGGGGAATGTTAGATTCCCTGAGATAATGTGAACCAAACACAGGAATGTGAGCTTTGGAATGTCACATTCCCTTGGTTATGTTATATAACCTGAACCAAACGCCTCCTTAGGGTGTGTTTGGTTGGTGGGTTTTGTCCATAGGAATGAGTATGAAAGTGATTGTTGTTGTTTAGTAATCATAATGTTCAAAGTTTGATTTCTCGAGAATTATATATTGAGTGACATTTTTTATTTGAGTCGATTAATTATGGTTTATGAGCAACTTAAGCTGATTTATCTACTCGTAATAATTTGACAATTAAAATCAAAATGTGAGTTTTACCAAAAGTATATATTTGAGTAGCGGTTGCAGAGTTTGTAAAAAAAATTACATTCAATTAGGGTGTGTTTGGTTCGCATATGGGAATCGGAATCGGAATGGGTATCAAATACTTGGTAATGGTAATGAATTTTGGTGAAAGTATTTAACATGTTTGGTAGTAGGGTGGAATGAGAATGGTTACTAATAGTAGTGCTTGATAACGAATAAGGGAATGAAATCCTTATTTTATTTGGGTATGGGTTTTTCAATTGATGGGGTATTCAAAATTCATAGTAGTGTTCTAAAAACCTATAAACCAAACAACAACAATCACTTTCATACCTATTCCTATGGACAAAACCCACCAACCAAACACACCCTTAATATTTCTTGTTCAAACTTGATGGACAAAATCGTAAAATCACTAGGTTGAAACGTTGAACTATTCATTTGTCAGTCACTCTGTGACCGTGACCCTAACATCTCCAACTGCCCCAACTTAGACGTTGTGGAATTTAGAACTCTTTTCTTATGGATAAGCCTATGCTTATATCAAGTAATAGTTCTATACTTCTATTCCATGGCGCCCAATCAATCTGAACCGTTGTTGTTATCGAACGGTGGAGAAAACGAATGCCCAGGCTATCACCGTGGGTACTCTTGCACCAAATCCACTGACGGAGTTTAAAAAGCCAAAAATTTATAACTACGATAGACATTACTGGATTTCAAAACACCCGTTGGCAGTTTGGTCATTTCCGCTTTCTCTAGTCACACTCAACCTCATCGCCGCCGACATCGCAACGGTTCGCCGTCGCTGTACGGCGGTGCCGCTTTTCTGCTCACCGGGATCTTCTGCACCGGATTCGAGCATCTCGCTTCGCCGCTACTCTCAACTACCGATCACTTTCGATATTTTGCAATTGTAATTTCATTTTGTAGTCCTCTTCGTCTGCTCCTTTTAGATGTCTGGTTTTATATACTTAATTGCTTTTTCTCTAATATGATTTTGAGCTGAAGATTGATTACTGGTTTTGATTATATTTGTCTGTGTTTTTTTGTGGCTGCTTAGATGATTATCATGCCCTAGTTGTTTTCATCACTCCTGTAAACTTGTTCAGTAACTCCGTAACTGTTTTTCGAGCAGAATAGAACTTTGTATTGAAGCAATGCGTTCGCTCAGTTCATTTGTGAATTGTGATGCAATTTTTGTCCATTTACTCTAGCTGGATTTTGATAATGCTGTGTCTTACGGAGGATGAATTCAAAGAGGGGGATCTAAGTACTAATTTTATGACAATAGTCTGTTTGGGGTGCAGACACGCAGAGAAGTAGAGAGAATTTTTTAATTTCTAGTTATTATTTTGTAAATTGCTCTTCATCACTTCTTATTCAAACTAGTAGGAAGTCAATTCTTGGGTAGTTGAAAGTATGTTGGTTTGTGTTTTTTGTTGATCCGTTGTATCTCAACTTCTATGATTATGGCAATTAAATGGTCCATATAGATACTGTATTTTAGCCTATTGGTACTAACAAACGACTGGCCAACCATGGATTTTAACCTTTTTAACTTTCACTATTTTTTGCATTAATATTCAATGCACGCTTTTATGCTTCTAGAAAAAGCTATATTAGTTTTCTACTGATTTGTGAAAGTGGGAAAAAAATCCTTGCCAAAGCTGCTCTGATGTGGTTTTTTTTTCACCCTTTCCCTTTTCAGGAAATCAACATGATTGGCTCGTTTCTCACCAGAGGCCTTGTGTATGTATTGTCATAAGCTGTATCAAGTCAAGTTCTTACAGTTTCATAACTTTAAATGTTCTTCTCTTTTCCTCATGCAGGATGGTTTTTGGTTATGCATATCCAGCTTATGAGTGCTTTAAAACTGTGGAGTTGAATAAGCCAGATATCCAGCAACTTCGCTTTTGGTGCCAGTATTGGTATACTGCATTCTGTTTGTTCAAACCTCTAAAGAAACCTAGTTGTGAATCTCGAAAGTAACCACCCTTTCCAATATTTTCAGGATCATAGTTGCTATAATGACCGTTTGTGAGAGAATTGCTGATACTTTTGTCTCATGGTAATGATGATAGAGTTTTTCATAAAACATACTTTATTTGGATTTCTATTGTGTTTGTAACATTCTTTTTCATTGCTTCTGATATTGTTTGTTGTAGGGTTCCTATGTATAGTGAAGCTAAGTTGGCATTCTACATATACTTGTGGTTCCCAAAGACTAAGGTTTTTTAATGCTCACTCCATGTGATTTAACATTTCGTTTTGTTCAATTAGTTTCACTTGCCATATTTTGAAAAGGTTTCTTCTTCATTTCTTCTTGGTAACCATTTTAGGGAACAACTTATGTCTACGATGCATTCTTTAGGCCACTGGTTCTAAGACATGAGCCAGAGATTGATCGCAATTTGCTGGAATTGAAGACTTGGGCTGGAGATGCAGTATTTTTGTATTGGCAAAAGGCTGCTAGTTATGGTCAGACAAGAATTTTTGATGTCTTGCAGTATATTGCTTCACAGTCAACTCCACCTCCCCCTGCACAGGTATGTATGAGGATGCATTATAATAATAATCATGCTCTGTCTATTTAAATTATACCTGCCTAATTGCAGGTTTCATTTGCAAAACCAATGTGATAATCTAATCTTTGTAAATCTAGAGTGATGTCTTTGATGTTCCCTACCCGTCCTCTCTCCTCTAGTTCTTAATTGGGTTTGAACTTTGAAAAGTCAATAGCCCTTTGTACTAATTGTAACAAGCACATTTTTTAAGTTGGAAAAGTTAAAAAGTAGTAATCATGTTTAGGAGCAGCACAGCTGGTGACATTGGATGTCAATGTGACTTTAGTTTATTGATTGTTTTTTTCCCTTTTAAATAAGATTTGTGACTGAACCCTACATTTTAGTAGATATTCTTCTTTTAAGCCATTGCTTTGAATTGCAGCCACGGAGGCAAGGCAGCACTAGAGTCCCCGGACCTCCTGCACCAGCAAATCAGAGAGCAGAATCTGCAACAATAGAGCCACAAACTGAAGATCGGCCTCCTGCTGCTCCCGGTGAACCTGCAAGCGAACTTGAAGATGGTGCACCTCCTAAAACAGCTGTGCCCACTGCTTCCTTGAATGCTCAAAAAACCACACCGACAAAACCCCTTGCTGAAACCATCAAAGCTCCAAGTTCCAGCGAAGCACAGGCAATGCAGATTGAACCCCCCGTGCATTCTCTGGCGGACGAAAGCACCAAACCCCCCACAGATACTGTTATGGTGGAAGGGGCTGCTCGAGTTACTAGAGCAAGGTCAAGGAAAATCCAGCGTGCTGCTTCAGACCAGTGACTATCGTGCGGTCAGGCCCCTTAGTCCCTTACCATGTTACTTTGTGAAATGTGTTTAGGTGGTAGGTGAAAAAGGATGGTTTTATAGGTCCACAATGTTGTACATTTTCACATTTCTTTCTTTCTTTCATTCATTACCTCAAGTTGTCCGTGGTTTTTAAGCATGGGCTGACAAAAATGAATGGGTAGGACCAAATGGAGGCCTGTTAATGAATCTTTGCTCATGACATCAAACGTTAATTAGGAAATAGGAATTCCTCTGCTGCTGCTTTACACAAAATAGTACACCTTTATGGTCCTTTAACAGATTTTCAATCTTTCTTTTTTTTTTTTGAATGCTAGTGACTCTGTATTCAATCTTAAGATATCATGTGTTGCAAGTTGCAACTCTAACTGTAAAATATGATAAGTAATTTGTAATAATAGGTATCTTAGGAACTGAATTTGATTCACTAAACTCTACTAAGAGATTCTTGTTTAAATTTGTCCCTTTAGTTTATTGCAATGGTGCAATTATAACGTGGGCCATCGTACATAAAATTATTGATGGTTCATGTTTAAGTATATTATTTTAAAATGAAGTTTTAGTTTATTAAAAATGAATAATTATCAGTGATTCATGGTATAATTTGCCTAAATCTGTTAGGTAATATATGTTTCTGCCATTTGGTGTTATAAATTTAGTGTTAAATAAAACAGAATTTTTGCACCTACTGACGACTGACGTTGCTTAAATTGAATATTACGTCAATGTACGTAAAAGTTATGTTCGTAACAAGCGTTTTACGTAAGACTAGATGCCAAGGAAAGTTAAATTCTTGTTCTTAAAGTTTTCCTTAGTTCTGACTTTGCCTTAAATATTCGAAAGCATCAACTTCTCATTTACAATAAGTATAAAGATTAATTGTTTACTATTTTCTTTTTGAAAATTTTTAAATGTAAAATCAAACCTGAACGGCAAATTATACCATGGACTATAATCAATATTCAAGGTGGAATGTGAATTATTGATTGATGTTTATTTTTAAATAGTATACTAAAATTAACTGCTTCATCTTGAAATTTCTATAGTGCATCAGACATTAACTTTGAAAAAAAATATCCAATTGTGTGACAGAGCTTAAATACAAGTACGGATTGGCTGGAATAAACTTGTCATCACTCTCACTCAAAGAGAGATAACCCCTACAGTTTTAAGATCACTCTCAGCATACATATGACATATCATAGCCAAAGACAGTCTAAAAAGATGCTGATACTCGACAGCGAAAGATGCAAACCGAGGAGAAACAATACATCAATTCAGCTGTGCATCTGGTCATTGCTACATATCCGAGTACCGCTCAGTATATACCCACCAAACGCACTCATTTGCATATGTGGGTGGGTTCTCGACGGAAGAACCTGCATGTTTACCAATGACATTGTGATTAAGAAGCACGAAAAGTGAATAAGCATGGGGCAGAAAGAGGATTAAGCATATATATATATATATATATATATATATACCTGATATTCACGGAGCCAAGGCTCAGAAATCTGTAAACCAATTGCCAATTTCTCGACCTGCAGATTGTGCATGCAGGTGGCTAGAGGCTGCAATCAAAGCATATCGTCAGCTGAAACTTATATTTCGTATACATCCCATTAGAGAATGGTGCAAAACTATGTGACATCGGGCTGTCAAAGATCAGCTATGAAGAAATTTTGTTGATTTAGAATTGCCAAAAAAAAATTGTGCAATCATTACTACTAACGTTCAACTCTGTCAACATGTCAACATTTTCCGTTGAGTACATTGCTCAAAAGATTTTTTTATACAAATCCTTGTAACCAGGTATTTTAATCTCCGAGTTGGTGTCTCATATGTTCAGCAAAAGACAGGATTTATCTGTAAGAAAACAAGACATCTACGAGACAGCAGACCTACCTGAGCATACTGATGGTAGATTGCAAATGGAGCTGAAAATGCCAAAAGCGGGAGGATATCTTTGAGAATACTCCAAGGGTCCATTTCTGGAGCAGCAATAATTAAGCTAGGAATAGATTTGAAGTTAGATCACAAAGATAAATATATTGAATTTGCAAAAATGACAACCCCAACAACTATACCAACCTTGAAAAGCCATTTTCTTTCCATGAGTTAACTGCTTCCAGTGATGCCTTCTCACCAGCCTTTGGAGCTTTACAATGTTTTATTACTGGAGAACCCACTTTCTCAGGTGTAATTTCCATATTCCCATCATCCAAGGAGACACCAGCTCCTTCTACTCCGACAGATTGAACAGATGAAGTACAAAGGTTTTCTTCCTGAACAAAACGGTTCCTATCAATCCAAGAGATCACAAGATGAAATGTCAACAGATAATAATCACTCGTTACTTACATTTGACTGACTTCTGATGTTGCATGCCTGTTCCACCCCGTCCTCTGATGCTGAAGCTCCGGTTCGAGATGTACACAGGTCAGCCAATGACGCATGTACAATTCTAATGAGAAACAGATGATAAGATCAATTTCTTAGGATAAAATGGTGGCAAAAACTAAATATGCAAAAATAAAAGCAAATCTTTATGTTATGGTGTCAAAAATAGACCATTGCTCATGGAAGGAAAAGAGATATAATAATATAATATACCTTCTGCTAATTTCATCACCAAGATTAAATATCCTTATGATATCAGTAGTATATGGGGCAACTCCACGATAAGTATTGCAAACATAACCAGTACCTAAGACAAAGGTTACAATTAGCAATCAAAAGAATCAGCCATATATAATAATATAAATTCAAAAGTATTTCTAACGATATTCAGCACTGTTGATAGAACAGATATCAGTAATACATAGACCTCATTGATTGAATGCAACTAAATAATTTTACTTTCCAGCTGACAAATTCCAGAATTAATTACAGTCTATATAATCATCTTTCAAAAAACTAAACTTAAGGGGGAAAAGAGGGATGGACACATTGCAGGGAAAAGTCTACGAAATATATTGTGCATGGCATTTGGCGAATAATAAAAACAACTGCAATACTTATTATCAATAGATATATCAGATAATATACCTCCCAAACGCTCAGCAACAGCACCAGTAAGTAGACCACCGACCTTGTCCACTACAAGTACATTGGCATGTGCAGTCACATTTGCCATAGAAAGCAGAAGAGATAAAGTGTCCACTCGCATGAACCTGACAATCACAAGCAAAGAAATTGAGAAGTGAAATCCACTTAAAAAATTAAATGCAATTTATGCAATAACAAAATACTGCTTAGTGTTTCTCTCCATCTTTCTAAATGTGATAGGAAATAAAATTTTCTACTTATCTATCCTAAAAATGGCAATATAATGAACTTACCCAGTTCTGTCAGGATGCTTCTTGAAGTATGCCTCACATATGCTAAAAGGAAGAATGGAAAATAATACAAGTTAGCAACAGTTAAATTCCTCCACTATATAAGAACTATTTAGACTTCACGAAATTTTTATTATTTAAATTTCAGGATGAACTGAAAAGAATTTTAAAAAGCCTATAATAGTCAAGTTGGAGTCAACCTCCGTGCATAGGGACGTCTGAGAAGTACTTTGGGTGCATACTTCTTCTGTTTCTTAAGCTTATATTTTTCCTGCAAGTATGAGTAAATAATTAACTCTGATTTACTTTCATATACACTGTATCAAATAACAAACATGAGCAAAGCGCACTTGTGAAAATTGAGTCTTCTTCTCAAAAGTTGCACTGTTTGCAATGAGAGCTTTGACTATATCATCCCCAGATGCACCCTGTCTGCATCAAAGTGGTGATTAGCTTCAAGTTATTTCAAAATGTTGAAAGGAAAAAAAATTACAGTACAAGTTTAGCGCGTTGTATTGTCAAGTTGTTAGTTTGTTACTAATGTTTTAAAAAAAATCGCCAGTTGAAATTCAAACCTCCGCATGTCATCTATATCTTCACCAGTGAGACTTTGAGCTGTGTTATTATCAACTAGTGCTCGATTGTCTTTGGAGACATCGGTAGTTTGTGAATCACTTTCTGCCTTAAGATTATTACCTGATCATGAAAGCATGGAAGAATAGGTCATAGTATTCACTTCCTCAATAACTGCTCCAAAAGTTGAAGGGACAAATTAGAGAAAACTGAATGCTTTAGATTGATAGAAAGGCTAGAACCAGTCTCTCTTCCTCTTCCATCTTAAACCCTCAAGTCATTCCAGAATCTCCTAATCTCTAAACCATTACCCTTTTCCTCCTCTCAAACATGGGATGTATAGACACATGTGAGAAACAATGGCTATAACCTGATGTTGATCAAAAAGGTAAACACTCAAGCTTGACATTAATTTCATACAGTGGGGAAGTATGAGGCTGCTTAAAATATCTCCAGCTTAAGACACAGTAAACAGATAACCACAATCATATGGTTTATGAACATGTATCTATGATGATAGCAAATCAGTAGTAATTAGCTTTCTTGGACCTAAAATAAAATTATCATGATGGTGATGATCAATAAACAGTAACACTTAAAGAAACTTTCCTTCATAAAACAAATTGTCAACATGTTAAAATATTAATACAGCCATTACAGAGTCTTTCCACAGGGAAATATCCATAGAATGCATTTATGCACTCAAACTGTTTAAGCTCCTTGAAGCTTAATACTGTGTTAACAATGAAATTAGTAGCAATATACTAAAATAAAAAAGGAAGACTTGACTGAATATGCATACCTTCAATGGTCGGAGAAACACGAGCCAAAATTGGTCCTCCTTCCCCACCCTCCACTTGAAACAGAGACCCATATGGACAACCTATCAAAGGCTGAAGGGAGTAATTTTTATTCCCTATCTTCAATCTCCTGCAAAATAGAATTAAGCTTCCCTGTGAACATAACATCACAAAGCCAAATCACATAAAAATAATATAAAAAATCGCGCACCTCATTCAACACAATACTAACTCAGATTCGTTAAAAACTCAACAGAACATATATCTACACATGAACTCACATAGAAAAACACATACACAACTGTATTATAGCTGCTGTTATTGTACTGAAAACTTACGAGGCAGGAGTTAGACGAGCGAAAACCAAACGGTCGCCATCGTTGATATCAAGCAAGACACTGCAACCTTCCCAGGTAATTCTAGGGTTAAAGCTTTTATTTTGATACGAATTTTCAGGAATTGCTTCGTTTACAGACATTTTTATCTTAATTTAGAGAGGAAAAAAAAGTGATCTTGATTTAGTTCTACTCTGCTAATTCTTAGTCGGATAGAGTCAATATGTACTGATGTAGCATTCAGGGTTGCAGGGGAACATAAACCCTAGATTCCTTAGAAGACGATAAGTAACAGAATAACCGTATCAAAGGCGGTTTTCCTACTTTTTCAAAAGTTGGGAAAATATAATTGGGCTTTCAAAGCCCAATAACTGCTATTGTTTTTTAATTTTTTTTTCTTTTCTAATCTTTATTAATTTATTTTTTTGAAG